CATCAATTTCATATTATACCATAATATTGATTGGGCACGAGATTATATTATATTACTGAAGTAAAAAAAAATATCAATATTGTTTCACCAAAAAATCATTGAACCTTTTAGTTAAGCCAATTAATAGAGAGAAGGTAGATCTTAGCCAAACATAATTATCTTTAGATCAAAGCATATTGAGTACAAAAATTGGAGTAGAACAAACTGATTTAGTATTTCTCGAGATCATTATCACATATCGAGCGGAAATGATAAGCTTACATTTATAGCAGGTTTACATCCTAATCGCAAGAGCACAGAAGGAGAAGAGAGAATGCTGTTGATAGTTGAGAGATTTCCCTTCCTTTGGTTCCGCAATGATGGCCCTAAATGTCATAGCCAGATCTGCCCCCAATGATGGTCTCCTGCCTCTCTATATATACTAATAACTTTCCACTTTATCCAACGGTCTTTGACCCGCGTGTTTTTTCGTAACTGAATCCTTCATTACTTGCTCAAGATATTACACTTGTTCTGCGATGTAAGCTTTATAACGGCTTGATTCTGGCAGGGACCGTGGTGCTTGTTGCCGTTACGCCTCGTGGGCACGACCATGGTGGGGTCGACCTCTTATCGTCTCCTTTAATGATAACCATCTCGTGGTCAGATTTTGACCGATACAAATATGACGATGAAAAAAATTAGTTTAATAAAAAATATTATAACTTCTAAAATTAAATCATTAGATGATAGAATTTTAAAAGTCATGAAATTTGTATAAGATACTTTATTTTACGAAAGAGTCTGTATTTTCAAATGTCACGACTCACGGTATAGATATTAATATACGGTAAATTGGGAACTTAGACTGTACTTAGGGGTAATTGTAATAGGAATTTGCATATGGATAAAAAATGATAAGGAAAGAAAGAAGATCACTGAGTTAAGGCTTTATCAATGAAACACTCAGTCAAATCAGTACTGATAATTTCAGATTAAGAGCTCAAGAAGAGTGTATATTTCTACGAATAATATGGAAAAATCAATAAGAGGGAAAAACCCTTGAAAATATTTAGTAAGATAAGCTTTGATTTCGTAACATTAAGATTTTTTTTTAAAAAAACATCAAGGTGGGGTGGTAATATACCAAGCTTCTTGTACGTATTTTGTACTCTCAAGGACATAATTCATGAGTTGTAATCATATATAGTATAAGATTTAAGTTCTATCCACTAATGGTTTAATTAGTTATGTTTATACAATTAAATCGCTCAAAAGTAATTTGAAATTAAGCTCCAGACTAAGTATGGGTAATATAACAAGGAAAAAAGGTAGACAACATGTACGGTTGGAATTTTGTCAAATTACATTAAATATGTTAACTTTATAAAACTTAATTTAATTTTATAACATTTATAAAACACTCCTACGGTACTATTGTTGATCCAAAACATTGTATAAAATGCCCCATTTTTCAATCCCTGGGATTCGAGTAGTTCATAAAATGGGGTTCTGTTGCTGAAAAATGGGGAGACTGTTGATTTGTTATGGCTGGAGTTGGCTAAAGTTGCTTTATTTGTGGTCAAGTTTTAAATAAGTATTTAAAGTGGCTATTTGTGCAAATGCCCCATTTTTCAGTCCCTATGATTCAAATTAGTTTTTTTTTAATTGATGAGCAATGAGCTTGTAAATTAGAGATTGAAATTTGATTAAACAAGGAATACAAAAATCTATTCAAGAAAAGTATCTCAATTTTTTAAAAGGAAAAATATTCCAGTGTACCTTTTTTAGTGTAAATGTAAAATGCATTTAATTATGAGAATTTTTTCCTAACTATACCATATTTGAAACCTTATTACCAAAAATATGCATAATTTGTATATTACCCGCCCAGTCCACACTTTAACTACAATTTATATACCAATCGTTTATTAGACAGAATCTGCCATTTATTGCGCGCGAAAAATCAGCCACAAAATCTGGGATTGATTTATTCCAAATTAAATTCGAAATTTGAAACGTAAAGGAGATCTGGAAGCTGCGTAATTTTGAAACGGAAAGGAGATTTCTGTTCTTCAACTTCATCTTCATCTGTTCTTCCATATATTTTCCACCATTGATAGCCAAAAAAAGCTTGAAAGCTTTGAATTCAAATTTGGGTTTTCAAAAATCATTATTTGTTTGGATTGGGTGTTGTTGAAAATAATCGAAAATATGATTTGGAGTTTATATCTCAATTTTGAGGAGTTCTGGTGAAGATTAGACTTGGTTTTGACTGAATTTCAGATTGAAACTCGAAGAAGAAGAAGAAGAAGACATATTTCCAAAAATTGTAGATAAATTGTAGAATTGTAGATAAATTATAGATTGGGAAGACTAAAACTTCTACAAATCTTCTACAATTATGTCGAAAATCCCAATTAAACTACAATCGAATGGGAATTGGGATACTAAAATTTAATATACCCAGTTTGTAGATATTTTGTAGATGAATTGTAGATTATTTGTATTCTAATTGTAGATGCATTGTTTTCTGTAGATGAATTGTAGATTAATGTGGTCAGCGGGTATAATCACAGCAGCAGTAGCATAATCCTTGGAAACTTACAACCGTGACCAATGTAGAAGAATTGAAGCTAGTGATCAACACTACTCCCATTTGGCTAACCACTATACCATTTGGTATTTGTGTAGCACAAGCAGCAACATTATTCATCAAACAAGGCGTGCAACTGAACCGGAAAATCATTCACAATTTTGAGATTCCCCCTGCTTCAATTTTTGCCTTAGCAGCTGTTGGCATGATAATATCTGTCACTATCTATGAGAAAATCCTTGTACCTGTCATAAGACGGGCAACAGGAAACGAAAGAGGCATTAGTATTCTCCAAAGGATCGGTATTGAAATGATCTTCTCTGTTTCTACTATGATCGTTGCAGTTCTAGTCGAAAGAAAAAGATTGAATATTGTTCATAAAAATCCACTCGAGGGTTCAGCTTCAATGAGTGTATTCTGGTTAGCCTAATATAAATTCAGATTTTGAATTTGTATTTTAGTTGAGATGAAAGGAAAGAGAAAGTGGGAATATACGGTCCTATAATTATGCCTAATATAAATGCACCCTTAATTATATCCCTGATTTGAATTATGGTATATAAATGGTAATTTGGTATGTTGAAACGTAATTAACTCAAACCTTAAACGTTGAAGGTAATAAGGTTTCATATATGGTATAGCCCCTTTGGCTTTCTCTTGCTTAACGCTTTCATATTTGGCATAATAGCCTGCTAGACACTTGTACTTGTTTGCATTTGTCATCCCGGTCCCTATATTCAACAAAGTTTCATCTAGACACTTATAATTGTTCAAAATTGATATTTTAAACCCCTATAACGCTGCTTGACTCTCAATCGCATGATGCTAGAATCCACGTCAGATAAAATTATGCTACATCACCTATTCTTTTTAATTTTACATGAAAAATAAATAATCTTTCTGTCTTTCTTCTTCGTTTTTTAAAAACTTTTTGTTTTTTCTTTGTCTTTCTTCACCATCACCTTCTCTTTATGCTATCTCTGTCATCACTGCCATCCTGTGAAAATTTCTTTAGCCAGCCAAAAGCACTATGAACACTCTTTGATTCCCAATTCCTCCATAAAAACCTTTATTCCACCTTATTTTCCAAGATTTTCATCCTTTTCAAAACCCAGCTTGCCAACCACAGTAGCAACCCACTTCCCTTACTTTTTCCGCCATTTTCGTCCATCTTCATTCTTGCATTCATCATTTCCCATCCCTTTTAATATTACACTCCATCATATTTAACTTTATCCATACATAACAACAACCATACAAGAATAATATAAAACAAAGATGTCTATCAATCAAATTAAATGATTTTATACTGAAAAGGAAATCTGATCTATCAAAAATATTTAGAAAAAAAATGGGGCATGACCTAGGACTGGGAAGAAAGAGAAAGGAAGAAAAAGAAAGAGAAAAAGAAATAGGGCAGGCTGGGAGAAGAACGAAAAGGGGAGAGAGGGATACAAAGCAGAAAAGATAGGGGAGGGGGTGGGGTGAAAACGAGAAAGAAATGTGGAGTAGTATGTTTTTGTTATTAATTTCTTTTTTCTTTTTCTTTTTCTTCTTATTTTACTCATTTCTAATCTAAATTTTTTATATTCACGCTCCTTATACGCGTGAAATATACGCATCTTGTACAGCTAAGCCATCAAGTTGCCACATATGTTCGGTTAATGGTCAGAGGGGTTTAAAATATCGACTTTGAACAACTATAAGTGTCTGGATGAAACTTTATTGAATATAGGGACCGGAATGACAAATGTAAACAAGTACAAATGTCTACTAGACTATTCTGCCTTCATATTTTATCAAATCTAAATTCAATTTCTGTCCACTTTTATATCCTCATTCAGCTTTTCGGAAAAGAAAAAAATATCCTAGTGCACCGTTTTCTAGGGGAGGATAAATGCAAAATTTATTTAATTATTAGCCCTTCTGGCTCTTTTTTGCTTAATGCTTTCATATTTTAACAAATTTACCCATTTGGACCTAAGATTTTTTTTTATTTTTTTTGGAAAAAATTCCAAGTTTTTTCGAAATCAGTGCTTGGCCATAAAAATTTTAATTTTCATTTGAAGATGAATTTTGAATTTTTTTGAAAATTTTAAAAACTTCAAAAAGCTATTTTTTAAAACATTCACTCAGATAACTTACAAAAAATTAAAAATAACTCAAAATTAGATTCATGTCCAAACACTACGCTAATTTTTTCAAATATCATTTGCACTTTAATTTCTTTTTTACTTTTTTTAAAATTTTATAATTCTTATGTCCAAACAGCCACTTAAATTCAAATTCTATCCGCTTTTTATCCCGGTGTACCTTTCTTTACGGCAGAATAAGTGCAAAATTTATTTAATTTTTAGCCCTTTTGGCTCTTTCTTACTTAACGCTTTCACATTTTTTGATCAAATCAAATTCAAATTCCATCCACTTTTTTAATTTTTATATCCTCACTCTATTTTTGACTAAAGGAAGACGCTTGCTTTGCTCCCATTCCTCTCCGCTGCTTCACGCTTCTCTTCACTTTATCTCTCCAATTATTTGAATTTCCAAAAACCTCTCCCAAATATCTCGCTCTCAAAATCATTTTCTCTAAGATTCTCCAGGTGAAAGATTCGTCCATTTTTTATATTATTGTTAATGTACTTTTGCATTCTCGTTTTTTAATGCTACAGTTTAACTCCTTTAGTAGTTTTTTTGGCTAATTGTAGCATTACGGAGGAAAAGTAACTTCCGAATTTACTGCTTTTTGTGTTTTGATTTAGTTGTAATAAGGTGAAATTTGTGTTAGTTTGTGGAAATTTAAGTGTACGTAAGCATTATTGTTAGAAAAATGAGAATTTGAAGTTATAATTGAAGTACTAAAGGATGAAATTAGCGACTAGTTTGTAAACACGTTCAATTACGCGATTTAAGTGTAAGTAAGCATTATTGTTAGGAGAATGAGAATTTGAAGTTAAATTGAAGTACTAAGGGATGAAATTAGAGAGTAGTTTGTGAACACATTCTATGACACAATTTTTTTGTGTGGATAAAAAACACTTTCGAAACCTAGACAGGTTAGTTAATTGATTGATTGAATAATTGTTTGGTTCGGATAATGCTAAGGTTGTAAGCTTGAGGAAATTAGTCTACGTTGTTATTGTTAGGAAAATCCGTAAACAAGAATGTAAGGTCAAAATTGAAGTCTTAAGGGATGAAATTAGAGAGAAATTTGTGAAGACATTATACTGCGCGTTCTTATGGATAAAAACACTTTCAAAACCTAAGAGGATTAGTTGATTGATTGAATAATTAAGTGAATGATTAATTTAATTACTTTATTTTCTGTAGACATTGTTCGAACTGGTTTATAGGGAATAAAGTTTAAATTGCAGGAGTAGGTTGTTGGTAATTTAGTGGATGAGGTGCTGACTGGTAAGTAAAACCAAATGCAATGACAGAGGGGAACTAAGTAAAACAACTGACAGCAAGTTCTATCATCAAAGTGATAAATTTGCTTAAACTTGGAGAGCTTACTGTAGGTTTACTCTTTTAGTTGAAGAATTTGAACTACATTGTGAGAATAATAATAATTTGTCGTGTTTATTCATATTTGATATGTTCGATCTCATGGGAAAAATAGGAATTAAATGCATCAGTGTGTAAATCAATGCAACTGATTTAATAAGTAATTCTGAACTCTTAGGTGAATCGTTTCTTTTTTAGGTTCATATGCAGCTTTATTGTTATTTTTACCTCATGCGACATCTTAGCTTCTTTTAGATTAATTCCTATGAAGGTTTACTCTTTCAGCTTTATATGTTCTGTTTGCTTTTGTATGTGCTTCTAGGATTGGAACATAGGTTATTGATTATTGGTATGATATGTGACTAAATGGAGGGATATTGATTGTAAGGATTTATATGGTGGAGCCCAACTAGCTTTGGATTGAGGCTTAGTTGTTGTTGTTGCTTTTTGTATTTGTATGTGCTCGCTAACAAAATTTAGAACACTTTAGATGTTATCTGTTCTTTTAGCGATTGTGTTGTAGCCGTGTCATATATTTTTCTTTTTCGAGAATGCCCCTTTTCTTCTGTATCTAAGTGCAGTAGAGAAAATATTGAGTCTCGTTGACTATAAAGAGAACATGATTAATCGCCTATCTCTCTACATATATGGTACCAGAGGCTATCTCTGTTTTTGCTACTTATATATCAATCTCGTACAAGTTTTACTGACCGATATTTTGGTTGTGTTAGTTGGTAAAAATGCCGGAGATTCAGTTGGGCGCCCATACATTCAGAAACCAGGGAGTGGAAATAGCAAGGTTTCACATGCACGACTGGCTTATTCTCTTCCTACTTGTGGTGATCGATATAGTTTTAAATGTGATAGAACCGTTTCACCGTTTTGTTGGATCTGACATGATGACAGATTTAAGATACCCTTTGAAAGACAATACCATTCCCTTTTGGGCTGTTCCTGTAAGTGCAACCCTCAAGACAAATTGTTTGGGACAATACATAGTTATAAAAGTAGTATGTGGTTTTTTTAACTTCTTTAATGGACATTTTACGATTCATATGTCTTTCAACAGATTATTGCCATAATCTTACCTTTACTGGTCATACTTGTCTTTTACTTCATCAGAAAGGATGTCTACGATGTGCATCAAGCTATATTAGGTATTCTTTGTCCCTTATGTGACTATCAGCTTTTGCCTGGTGGCAAGTATATACAACCAGATCAGACTGATTACTTTGTGTACCTCTGTTCAGGATTGCTGTACTCTGTACTCATCACCTCAGTTCTTACTGATGCAATCAAAGATGCAGTTGGTCGACCCCGTCCTGACTTCTTTTGGCGGTGTTTCCCTGATGGAAAAGGGGTGTGTTTATTCATTGCTTGGAATCTCCCTTCTGTAGCAGTAACTGATATAACGGCATTTGCAACTATCAATTATAATTTTCTGTGTTTAGGTGTTTGATACAATCACAAGCAATGTCAATTGTACTGGCTTGAAAAATGTTATCAAAGAAGGACATAAAAGTTTCCCAAGCGGACATAGTTCTTGTGAGTATAACCATTCCCTGTCAATTGCATTGTTGGCATCAGAAATTTGTGATTATCTCCTTTACTCGACCCTTTAAACAAAATGAGCATATACCCTCAGTTTGTCCTTTTCCCAATGAAACTTTCTCAGTTATGTGAACTGTTATTTTCCCTTTTCATTGATACTTTTATCTTCTCCATTCAGCACCGGATTTCTCTGCAAGATTTTAGATTGCTTTTACTTGTAGTTAGTACAATTGCTCTTTAAATAATATATAAAATACTGGAACAATGAAACATCTATCCTCTGTTTTCAGTACAATTCAGTCAAGTACCTGCCAAATTTGTGTAATGATTTGTTAAATGCCAAATAATATATATTTTTTATTACTGCGTATCCTATTTTTCCCATATGTTTGACCTCTAACTTTTTAATAGTTTACCTCAAATATTTCAACCACATTAAATAGCAAGTTCATAGGTGATGATGTTTATGCTGGGATAATCTACTTAAGTACACATCTAACTCGTAAATCAGAATTCCTGCAAGTGCATAGGTGACTGTGGGTTATGCTTCAATTTTTCCCTCGGATGTGACAATATATATGTTTCTCTATGTGGCTGTAAGGTGGCTGTTTTATCAAAGATCTTGGCTTGCTTTGAGTAAATTTTGAATTCTTAGAGAAAACTGAAGCTTGTTGGCATCTGTTGGTATCATGTGATAGGGTCTTTTGCTGGTCTTGGCTTCCTCGCCTGGTACCTGTCTGGGAAAATTAAGGCATTTGATCAAAGAGGTCATGTTGCTAAGCTTTGCCTTGTTTTCCTGCCCTTACTGCTTGCGGCATTAGTTGCAGTTTCCCGAGTAGATGATTACTGGCACCATTGGCAGGATGTATTTGCTGGAGGTCTCCTAGGTCTGTAGAATATGCCTGAACATGTACATTTTCTAGTTTTCTTGTTTCTTATGGCCTTGGTTAGGGATACTTATTGTTTATTTTCTTTGTGCCATTTGTGCAGGATTGACTGTGGCTTCAATCTGTTACTTACAATTCTTTCCCCCACCATATGATATAGATGGTACTTGCCCCCTATCATCGTTATCTCTTTTCACAGCAATCCTACTTTGAATCAGCAAAAACAAAGAAATAGCCAGTTTACTAGTTAAAATCCTTAATGGTAGGCATTATAGATTTTTTGTGAAGTAAGCTGTAAATCAATTCGACTGCCACTTGTGTAGAATGTGTTTGTATTAGTTGGCTAAAAAATAATGGAGAAATATATATTTTTATCCGCTCCCCAAAATAATAGCTGACAAAATATATTCTTTTTTATATATGTGTATTATATACATATTTTATACACTTTTTGGCTAGAAAATGTAATTAGTTTCGGCCGGCTGGCCAATTTTGCATTTTTCCCAAAATAATATGAAAGATATGCCAATGAGTTCCTCTGTTAAATTCTCACTTTCTTGCAAAAACTCATAATACGTAATGGAAGCTGTCTGGGGGATATCAAATAACTTCAAATTCTACTACTGCAGAACTCTAAGCATACTTTCTCCTATTAGAATGCCTCTCCATCCTCGAGGGTGGGGCTGCACGGGTGCTGTTCTTTTCGTCTGCTATTAGAGAGTGGGTGGTCCATCCTCAATCTGCATGTAAATTAGAAGTTATGAGGCGTTTAGCCATTTGACCTGCAAAAATTTTAACTACAATTTATGATGAAGAAAATATGTAATGTTACTGAAGTCAATAGTGGTTTGCATGTTTGTCTATTTATCTCCGTAAGAAGACATGGATTCATTAAAGGTATCTAATAGAAATTAAGAACTAGCAGAAATGTTAGGCTGTGGACACAAACTAGCAGGAAGAGATAAATTATATTTTTGCTTTCCGATTTTTTTTAGATGCAGCCTTTGTCCAGCTGAAGGACAAAAAAATGTAAAATGAAAAATTAAGGGCCCCATATGACATAGCTTATTGCTGAATATTCATGCGTGGTTTATGCAAACCACGATAGTTTCCGAGCTTTATAGTCCTTACCTCATTAAAGTAGCATTTCCCTTGCATTTTCTATAAAATGCCCTGCTTGTTCATTTTCCTGTTATCTTCCTGTGAGTTAAATGATTCGTATCTTCACTATTACTGGAGTACTTAGTTTATTGATCTGAAGACTTGGAAGAAAAAGTTGACATAATATGCCGTATTTAGTTGAACTCCTTATGGATATTTTGATACATTGCCTCTTCCCTCCAGGTAGGATGCCCCATGTGCATTTACAGAGGCTGGCAGAACAGCGCAGTGGTACACAGTCTACGGCGAATAATCCAGGTTGTCTTACTATAAGGCAGCACGAAGTTGACAGTGTGTATGCTCAACCTCAACATGGCATTGCCGTATCAGGACTCAGTGCACGCGAGACCGGACCAATCTTCGATGATGACATTGAAAATAGCAGATGGAGGCATTGACTTCATGTTTCATGCATTAAGTGTATAGATCAGAATAGGTATGCCGCACTCTGTTAGTTTCGTAGGATGTGTTTGCTTCTCATCAAACATGTGGATTCTTTCAGGGGTTGCTTGTTTTTCCACTTCTGTGAACTTCTACCCTTGTAGTTTTACATTAGTTTCTTAAATTTTAGTATTTGACTTCACGAACTGGATGTGGTAACTGGTTACTGACGAGTTCTCAAGATTAGGTAATTTCCACGATTTCTTTCATTAATAGACAAGATAACATGTGCCGTATAGACATGGCAATCATCACAATAAACTTAAGAGTGAAAAGACTATAAGGACGGCCTTATGGCCAAGATTTGTGGTTATGGGCTTTGGTTTAAGGGATAAAGGGCTGAGGTCGTCTTGTCCAAGCTTCATGATAACAAGAGAAGTGTGGATTTTTCTAGTGTATACTAAAGTGTGTGCCCCCTCGTATATATATACTTAATTTTTTTTTACGGTGGTGTCTAGATCAGCTTTGTGCTTACCTCAAATATTCCATCGGGTACCTGCTACCTTTCACTAGCACATGTACCGATTAACTCTGGCTACTAAGGCTTAGAGAGTTGGGAAAAAATCACCTGGTGCTCGTCTCTGTTAGGATTTGATGGTCTTCAAAGTTGTCAATCTGACCTGACTTATTGGAGTATCTGCTCTCAGTTGTAATGGAAATCATGCCATTTACACATCAAGTAGAAGAGATCGCAAGCCTTGGCAGCAAGTGTTAATGATTATATTAGACCTATTCAATTGGCTTAATAGCAGACGATCTAGTAATCACTGAGTGGTTTGTTTATTTCTCTCCAGTTGAATCTATCTTCTTATTCGAGAAATTAGTTACATGAATTTTGGCACCAATTTGTCATCTTCTCGTATGAATTTTCTGACCAAAAAGCTTGTCTACGTAGATAATTAGAGAACTGATCAACTCGTATAAGATTATCAAGGAAATTCAGTGTTAATTGACTTATTCTTCGTGGCAAAATTTCCTATATCTTGTTCTGGTTGTGGATTGCAGGAGAAAAACAAGGTGGTCATTTAACACTAGTACAATTAACGTGAAGGTTATCTGTTTCATAGGCCTTACCTATTTTGTCACTAAAAGTTCTTAGAAAAAGGTGTCTCCATTTAATTCGTTTTCTTCAAATTTAGATGGAAATGAAACTTGATTGTATACTGTGGAAGGGATGGATTCCTCTACCTTTAACTACTTTGGGTTCGAATATTTTAGGAGCTTTTTTCCCTTTAATTAATTGGCTGTGTCGTGAATTTGAATTAGTCGGACAAGTAAGCACCGGATATTATATGATTATATCAACAAAAAAAACTTTTTGTTTCTTTGGACCTTATTCTTCTGTCTCTTCTTTCTTACTTTTTCTACAAACCAATCAAAAAAGAAGAGGAAAAAAATTTACTTGCCTGTCTGCCCTTTTCTCTCCCTTTCTTCCTGTCCTATTTAATATCTTAAAATTTTAACAATGAAAAATCTCTCTCGGTGGCAGGAACTAGGGGTGTACAAGCCGGATTGGAAAACCGCATCAAATTGAAAAGTCAAACCAAACCGATTAAAAAATCCGACTAGGTTTGGTTTGATTTGGTGTGGTATTGAGTAAAAATATCCGAACCAAACCGACATATAAATATATAATTTTTATATAAAATTTCTTTAAAAAATGTCTAGAAATATTTGAGATTTTCTTGCGGGATATAATATTTAATAGAATATGAAGTGCTCCATATTTATTAACATTAAATAATGGGTTGTATAATCACTTTCTTATCAAGTGTTATTGCAATCAGGGGCGGATTTAGGGGGGCGCAAGGGTGTTCACCCGAACCCCCATTCGCTGAAAAATTACACGGTATATATAAGGCAAAATCTGTGTTTTACCTCTATATATTAAGTTTTGAACACCCTTAACATAATCCAAAAGTGTAGATTAGTGGTCAAGGGTGTTCAAAATCTACATAAGGTCATGGGTTCAATTCCACTAGCTACAAAAAATAATTTTTGAAACCCCTTCGTGGAGATCCTGCCTCCGCCACTGATTGCAATGTGCCAATGTCTTTTTTCTTCCATATTCATATCATATGCTAAGATCTATTAAATTCTTATATCTTTTTCGAATGTGAAGTTATTATTATTATTGTAAAAATTGCACGGGGCGCCCCCATTTAACCTATACCCATTTTTTTAAAAACTTTCAACTTGTACCCACTTTTTAAATAACTTCAGCCCCCTTTCTCCTCCTTCGTTTTCTGCCATTTTTGAGTGGCCAACACACTCCACTTCAACTGCACCTCTTTTGTTAGTGTTTAGAGACGCAAAGGTGCGGTTCATAATTTTAAGGCTGTGAGTTGTTTGTAATTATGTAGATATAATACTATAATATAAAATTTTAAATTAAGGATAATGGATTTTTGATCGAACTCAACTGACAATGAATTGGAGTTTGGTTGAAGAGTGAAGAAAATGAAGAGAGAGAGAGAGAATGGGCATATGGTTTATGCTTGTTTGATGCGTTTGAGACAAAGACCAAATTGAATGTTGGGACTTCAAGTTCTATCGTTACAAAATAAAAACTTCAGCTCTAGAGCTGAAGTTCGCCAGTTACAAAACAAATACTTCAGCTCTAGAGCTGAAGTTCGCCAGTTACAAAAACAAAAACTTCGCCAATTACAAAACAAAAACTTCAGCTCTAGAGCTGAAGTTCGCCAGTTACAAAAACAAAAACTTCAGCTCTAGAGCTGAAGTTCGCCAGTTACAAAAACAAAAATTTCAGCTCTAGAGCTGAAGTTCGCCAGTTACAAAAATAAAAACTTCAGCTCTAGAGCTGAGTTCGCCAGTTACAAAACAAAAACTTCAGCTCTAGAGCTGAACTTCAGGCCCGGCTACTAGAATGCTAAAGTTTTGCGTGATTGCCTTTGCTACTTCAGCCCCGTATGCTGAAGGTATGCGAAAAAGCGGGTACGCTTGCAATTTTTTTTGCAAAGCGGGCACAAGTTAAAACGTGACACAAAAAGCGGGTATATGCAAATGCCCCATTATTATTTGGTCGCCACAAATATGTATTTATTGTAGCGACCATCATGAGTTGTCACAAGAAACATTTAGTAACGGTTGTACTAGCAGCAACCCTAAGGTCGCTGCTAAAAATAATTAGCGGCGATAATCTTGTCTTTTGTAGCGACTTTAGGCGCCACCAAAAGTCTCATTTGTTGTAGTGAAAGTGTACATCAACAAAAAGTTATTGTCAGACGACTAAAAAAATAACTATTATGTGTTGCTAAGAAAATTCTCCCGTAAGAATATTTTAATAGATAATGTGTTTATCAATTTTTTTATATTTTTACTTATAAAAAATTTAATAAAGTAAGATTGAAATAATATTTAAGCAACAAAAAACCCGAAAAACCCAAAAACTCTACCAAACGGAATCAATCCAAATCGATAAAGTTGGTTTGGTTTGGTTTTGATAAAAACCGAACCAACCCGATCCATGTACACCCTGCGGAACAATGAGACAACAAATTGCCGGATATCTAGATAAGATAAATTCTGGTCTCCTATGACCTGGATGCTTTGTCTCTTCATCACGGTAAATAATACAAGTGATTAACTTTATACTTTCCTTTTAATGCTGATTTTCTTTAACGTTCTCACTATAACAGTGAAGGAAACCCCATAATCTTGGTTTTATGGCCATTGTGAATGTTCTTTTATATAATTCTTTTTACAAGAGATTAGTAAAAAAAAATAACACAAAAATTAATAAATAATACTATATATGTTTGTAAAAATTATTTTCTTCTATGTGAATTATAAAATGTCACAAGATATCATTTTTCTCTAAAATTTATCTTTGCAGGCCAAACGGAAACTATCAACTTATTAAATTGACGAACAACTTTTGTACTCCATTTGCTCTCTCTATGAATATGTATGTTCATTCCACATTCTCTTTTACATGTTTGAAAAAGTCAATATGGATAGCCAAGTTTAATTCTATTATTATGGTGAAGTTTCAGATACAAATTTTCTTATTTTTTTATCAGTGAATTTCGCTCGTCAAGTTCTTGTTTGATCTGTCGCGGTAAACAAAATCTCATCAATGGGAATTCTTGGGTTTTCATATTGGGATAACATAAAGAAATTTTGGAGGGGACAAAGATATCAAAGACTAGAAGATACAAAAAGGGAAACAATAAGAGGAAGATGAGAGTTATTAAGCTTGGAAATAAGAAAAAGATAGTTGTTTTGAAAATGAAACAAGCACCCATTAAGTTTCATTGGAAGCTAATTTCACCCCTGAAGTTGGTTACAAGTTTTCATAATGGTTATGTTAATACAATAATAGGTTTAGAAGGAAGCAAGAAAGTTGGAGGAAAAAAAGTTGCAAGTGGAAAAACAATTCCAATGGTGGCTTCTTCAACTAATGATGTGGTTGATTGCAGAATGGTTTTGAAAATTTATAAAAATATAGTGTCTTCTCGTGAATTAGCACATCTCTTAATTTGACATCCTTAATTTTCTTTTTTTTACTTTTTCTAATTCATTAGTCAGGTATGTGTATGATCTCCTCAAGTGTTATTCTGCTATAAAAAGGTTTCATTTCAGTTCTTTTTTGGGAAAATAATACTGTATAGCCGCTTTCAAAATAATAGCCAAAAAATAAAAATATTTTTGGCAATTTTTTTTTGTATATATATACATTCTATTTGTTATATAAAAAAAAATTATATAAATTTTATACACTTTTCGGCTATTAAACGTAAATAGTTTCTGAGGGGGGCTCCAAGTGATAATACCTTTTTTTTGTGGAGACAATTTCTTATACCATTGTGGTGAGAGTTTCGGCTTTGACATATTCATGATAAGTTTGGCCAAGCTTTTTTTGGGCCAAAAGTGCTTTTTTGGGCCAAAAGCACTTTTGGCCGAAAAATTGAGGTGTTTGACCAAGTTTTTGGAAGGAAAAAAAGTGCTTTTGAGGAGAAGCAGAAAAAAGTAGCTTCTCTCCAAAAGCACTTTTCGGAGAAGCATTTTTGAGAAAAATACACTTAGAAGCAGTTTTCAAAAGCTTGGCCAAACACTAATTACTGCTCAAAAGTGCTTTTCAAATTAATTAGCCAAACACAAACTACTTCTCACCAAAAATACT